ATGGTAAGGTGTGTATTGCCTTTGCATTGGATTATGTACCCGCTGGGCTTCTTGAGTGAGAAGACTGGTGTGTTAGTGGAGCGCTCGCAAGCATGTGCGAGGAGGAGCAGGTGGCAGTACTCGGTCTGTGGGTGGACATGTGGATTGGGTGTGTTTGGAAGCAGATGTTTTGTTCTTCTCTCCTTGCACCCTCCACCTTCTGGTTTTAGGTGTTTTGCTTGGATTGTGAGAAGCTAAAGGCAGCTGATCAAAACAATGACTGAATTCAAATTCCCCCCTTCCCCCCCATTCATTCAACTAGTTTCTGAAAGTGGCAGTGATCATTTATTGGCATCAGATAACTGGCTGATCATCATCTTTTCTTGCTGCTGTTCTTCCCCCCCTGCCATTCCTTGCTTCTTTTGGTGATGTGCTTCATCTCTGAAATTCAGATAAATGACGAGCTTTCCTGTTGCACAGCAACGAGGGCTTCTTTATGAAGAGAAAAGGGTGTTACTTCTTTCTGTGGGTCGGTGCTTGAAAAGAGAAAAAAGTCATCACTGGGTCACTGGTGCACTACTATCACACTATTTTGAGTCCTTTTAAGCTTGATAGCCTTGTAGTACAAATTATTTTGGCCCCATAGGTTGAGGGACTGGCTGCTACTTGCTAGATTTGGTTACCTGTGAAAGAAGATGACAAACTGAGCTTCTGCCCTATGTTCTTGATTTCCTGGCAGCCTCTAAGGAATATTTGCATGAGCTGGCTGCTTGACTTCCCCAATCTGCGTGTGTCCCCATGGCAGACGGTGCATTGCCTCTGTGGGCTCTCCCAGTGCTGGTGAGGTGGGGACGACCTCCGAGGCAAGGGGAAGCCCGAGCTCTGCAGCCTGTTTCTGGTTACAGTTGCAGCCAGGACACCCTTCTCTTCTGTGGCGTGGTTTCACTTTGTCATGGATTAAATGTCAAAGGATGAGGGAGTAGGAAGCTCTGCTTTTGAATGTTCTGATATTTTAACTGTTTAATCAGATATTTGTTTGCTTTTGTGTGACAAATTGCGCTCAACTTCTCAGAGTGAAATGTTGAACAGCGTAAGTATAAACTTACAGCAGTAGAAATATTATTTGTAATCCTATGGGCTTTTTATGTACTTCCTGTTCATTTTTCTTACATTTCCCTTTTTTTACATTTACATTTTTCTGTGGGAAAACTCTATTTCAGGGTTATTTAAAGTTTTTTCTGACTGTGGTGATGACTCATAACGACATCAATAAAGTTTCTTGTGCTGAAACTGTCCTGTTTCACTTTTTATAAAGCTGTTCTTAGGCACTTATGTGGAGATGATGACTAAAAGACTTCACATTTTTTGTGTACCATATATGTTTAATGTAACCTTGATTTCCCCTCCCTTTGGATATATACCTTATGATTTGGTTATTAGTGATATGATTGCATTCTTCGTAATTCTTCATGTCTTGTCTTAGTAAGAGCACAGTGTGGCTCTGCTCTGAGAACACCTGCAGAGAATCACAAGGTGTGTGTGACCTGTTTCGTTTCCTGAAGATGTTTGAGAAGTGAATGAAGCAGAAATCTGCAAGAGAGGAAAGTATGCTATGGTTACAGAGAACGGATGATGCTGTCCTGAAGTTCTGGTGTTTATCGGTGCTTGTTGTTTGGCTCTGGCTTCTCAAACAAAGCTGTTCCTTCTGTTCTGAGGGGGCTCAACTTTGAATTCCAGGATCTGACTCAAGTTCAGTAAATTAT